GATGCTATTTGATTTAAAGACCCGAATCAAATGGCTTAAAATCAATCAATTTATATTCGTTATGTATTTGTTTACCAATATATTTGCATACGCTATCCAACACTTGACAAATAAAACCGAATGTTTTAGTTTCCGGACTTGGTACCACAATCCCAAAGAATGTCTTAAAAAGGATTGCATATGTACCTAAGTAGTCTCATCCTCACAATCTTCCTATTGATAATGTATCATTAGAAGAATATGTTAGAAAAGGTCTATCATAAAGAGGACAACACTTTTAATGTCATAATTCTTCAATTACAAATTGTTGTATGAAGAAATAGGAGTTGCTTTGAACAACTCTTAGTCAATGCAAACACTTAGTGCTTGTTTCTTTGTTATGGTGACTGCTACATCTTTTTCATTGGAGTTCACAGATCCAAACTCTAACCCTAATTCTGGGATTTCTTCCTCAATTACAATCCAAAATATTGGATCCCTGGTTCCGATCAAGCTTACAACCACAAATTACCTGACCTGGAGTGCCTTATTTGTTCCAATTTTTCGTTGCTATAATCTTACCAGTCTTATTGATGGAACCACGGCGGCGCCGCCTCAATATCTCATTGATTCTTCTGGCAATCGCACTACAACTCTCAATCCTGCTTATGTTACTTGGTTTGAGAATGATCAAAACATTCTCATCTGGATCAATTCCACTCTGTCTGAATCTTTGATTCGTTACACAGTCGGCGTAACTTCTGCTCGAGAACTTTGGGCGAAATTGGAATCGCGTCTTGCCATTGCATCTCAGTCTCACATCCATGAGCTTCGATCTCATCTTCATAGTCTTGTTAAAGGTGAATTGACTGCTGCTCAATATCTCCAGCAAATTGAAGAAATTGCAGATGCACTCGCAAGTGCTGGTGTTCCTGTTGGAGATTCAGACCTCATCTCAGTCACACTTCACGGATTGCCTCCCGAATTTGACTCTTTTGTGGATGCTATTCAGTTTCATCTTGGTTCCACGACTATTGATGAATTGCACGGATTACTTCTCAGTAAGGAGATTCAACTCAACAATCAGAAGAAATCTGTCTCAGCTGCATTTCAGGCATATAATTCCTACGCTGGTATTCTTCCCTTGCCTGCTAACTCTACCCCTCAAGCATTTGCTGCACAGCATCTTCCTCATTTCTCCAATCAAGGCCGCAATGTGGATCGCAATTATCCGGGCATAAATTGGGGCAATTCTCAGAATCGTGGAAATTCCAAATTCAACAATGGCAGAAATAACTACTCTCGTAACAATCAAAGTTTCAATCGTGGAGCTCACAATAACTACTCTTCCCATCGAAAGCTTTTCTGTCAGATTTGTCGACAACCAGACCATGAGGCTTATGATTATCCTCATCGCATGGATCAAAACTACAATGGAAAATTTTCTCATTCTGTGATGGTTGCTGGTACCTCCCCTTCTACTCCCACCTGGAATGTTGACTTTGGTACTAGTTCCCATATGACAAACTCATATGCCAACCTTCAGAATCCAGAAGCATACACTAGTCCTGAGCAAGTGTATATTGGCGATGGCAAAGGTTTGCCTATTCTCCATTCTGGCTCATCCGCTTTACATACTTCTACTGAATTTTTTGCATTGAAGCATATCTTACATGTTCCTGATTTGAAGCACAATCTTCTCTCTGCTAATCAATTTCTACTTGACAATTCTTGTTCTATGCATCTTTATCCTTTTCACTTCACTGTGAAGGATCTTTCTTCGGGGATAATGCTTTTTAAAGAACCAGTTCAACATGGATTCTATCCTTTTCACTCATCATTCTATCTTGCTAATTCTCACCAAGCTTTAGCTGCCTCTGTCAAAGCTCCAAAGCATCTTTGGCATCAAAGATTGGGCCACTCTTCTGTAAAGATCATGAATAAGTTGGCCTCTCAATCATGTATTTCTGTTCTTGATGCTTCAAATAAAACTTTTTGCTCAGCTTGTGCCCTAGGGAAATATTCTAAACTTCCTCTTTCTAGTACTACTTGTACAACCCGCAAGCCTTTAGAACTTATCTATACGGATGTTTGGGGACCCTCACCCATAATGTCTCATCATGGTTTTCGGTATTATGTCATTTTCATAGATGACTATACCAGATATTGTTGGTTCTATCCTTTAAAGTGTAAATCTGATGTCCTCTCCACTTTTATGCAATGGAAATTACTTGTTGAGAATTCTCTGTGTACAAAAGTTATTACATTACGCTCAGATTCTGGTGGTGAATTTGTTAGCATTGCATTCCCTCAGTTCTTAGCTAGCCATGGCATTCATCATCAGCTCACTTGTCCTTACACCCCCGAGCAAAATGGGTGTGCAGAACGTAAGCATCGGCATATTGTCGAGACTTCTCGAACACTATTGGCAACATCTAAAGTGCCTCATGATTATTGGGTTGAGGCTTTTGCTACCTCTGTCTATCTCATCAACAGGTTACCTACTATATCCAGATACTCTCCTTGGCAGTCTATTTTCCAGAAAGCACATGACTATAAATCTCTCAAGGCTTTTAGTTGTAGTTGTTTCCCTTGGTTAAAACCATACACATCTTCAAAACTAGATCCTAAAAGCAAGAACTGTGTCGTCTTGGGATATAGCTTAAATCACAAGGTCCTTGTAACAACTGGTACATGGTCCCTTGTACCACATTCTTTTTCTCATAATCTTGTGGGATGTAAGTGGGTGTTTTGGAACAAAAGGAAACCAGATGGCTCTATTGACAGGTACAAAGCCCGCTTGGTTGCTAAAGGGTTTCACCAACAAGAAGGACTTGACTACACTGAAACCTTTAGTCAAGTGGCCAAACCCGTGACTATTCGTCTCATTCTCACTCTTGCTGCTCAATTTGATTGGTTCCTCAATCAATTAGATGTCAGTAATGTCTTTCTCCATGGCACACTTACTGAATCAGTGTTTATGCAACAACCACCTGGCTTTGAAAATCCAACAAAACCACATCATGTTTGTCATCTTCACAGATTCCTTTATGGTTTGAAACAGGCTCCTCGAGCTTGGTATGACAAGCTTCATAGTGATCTGCATTCTCTTGGGTTTCAAGGCTCTCAAAGTGATCATTCTCTGTTTATCAAGAGTTTTCCTACTCCGGTATTCATCCTACTCTATGTAGATGACATCTTAGTCACCGACCCCTCATCTGCAGCTTGTCAACAAGTCATCACTCAACTCAGTGCCCTTTTTCCCATCAAGGATCTTGGTGCCCTTCACTACTTCCTTGGTATTGAAGTTAAAAGATCATCTTCTGGTATTTTAATCTCTCAAACCAAGTATATTTTGGATCTATTGGAAAAAGCAAAAATGGAAGGTGCCAAGCCCTGCAGCGCCTCTCTCAGTACCACCAAGCTGGATCACTCGTATCCCCTGCTTGAAAATGCTTCTGAATATCGATCTCTAGTTGGAGCTCTTCAGTACTTAACCTGGACTAGACCTGATCTTAGTTTTGCTGTTAATTTGGTATGTCAGTTTATGCATAGTCCAAGACTTTCACATCTGCAAGCAGTAAAACGCATTCTCAGATATCTTAAAGGTTTTCTTGATCTTGGATTATGGTTCTCCAAGTCCTCTCAGGCTCCATCTCTTCAAGCTTTTTCAGATGCCGATTGGGCAGGGTGTTCTTTGGACAGAAGATCCACAGGTGGATATTGTGTATATTTTGGCAACTCTCTCATTAGTTGGAGTGCCAAGAAGCAACCTACTGTTGCTCGTTCCTCAACTGAAGCTGAATATCGATCTCTTGCCAATACAGCTGCAGAAATCACATGGATATGTAAACTGCTGGCTGACATTTCTTATTCTCAACCTCATTTTCCCAAGATCTGGTATGACAATCTCTCTGCCATTTCCTTAGCAAAAAATCCCATTTTTCATGCTAGAACAAAGCATGTCGAGATTGATTACCATTATATTCGTGAAAAGGTTCTAGCCAATCAAGTTTCTGTGCAGTTTATCTGTACACAGGATCAGGTAGCAGATATTTGCACCAAATCTCTGTCACAGCCTCGGTTCATCCTTCTTCGTGACAAACTACAACTGCGAATACCACAGTCTCGTTTGCGAGGAGATATTAAGGATAAAAATGTAATTACACCTTCAAGGGATAATACTTAGAGGCTAAGGAATGTTTAGTTAGTTAGTTTAGTTATTCCTTTTGTTAGTTGTGATGACAACTGTGATGGTTGTGATAGCCTTGTATAAATACTCAAAGTGTAAAGTTATGCATTGAATTAATGAGAAATATTTTTTCCTAATAGTGCCCACCCCTACAAACAAGAGAGGATACGTTGAACAAGCCATGCCAAATTTATCATTTTGTTTCTTTTAGCTCAAACTAGAAAGGAGTGCCCATGCTATGCTGCGGGTTTTAGAACCATATAAAACATTCTGAAAGTTGTAAATGTATTGAATAGGCAATATTATTTACATAAATGTGGAAATTACTTACAACCCTATTTACAATACGGAACAAAATTAGAAATAATTTTATCCTATCTACTTACAGCCCTATTTAATCGTTGAACATATGTTTGTCAAGGATACGAAAAGTATGTCATTCGTATATTAAAAACTTGATGAACTGGTAATAAGAGTATCTCTTATGTATCAAAAGAATTAACCAAACAAATCTGAGAATTCGAGAATTTGAAATTAACTTACCGCACAGCAACAGATTTGTTTTTAGCCAGGACGCTCTTCTTGTAATTCACCCTGAAATTTCCACTCAAATGTGGACAAAAATGTTGTAGTAATCGTCACTTTGTTTAAAACGTCCGTCTTGACTTATTTCCTTGAAGTTGCTACTGTCACTCTCTATCATGCGTGTGTGTATATATACAAATGCATTACCCTTTCAAAACTTATAACTTATTCGATCCAAAACATCAGCGAGTACCTTTCTAATCCCTTCAAATCAAATTAAACACCATATTTGTTTGGTCAGAAAATGGCTGACTACGGCACCATGAAAAGGCCGTCCACCATCTCCACACCAACACCTACTGATGATCCCCATAAACCGAAAGATTCAACCGGAAAAATGAGCAAGGACTTCAAGCTCTTCTGCTTCTTCAACATCCCGGCAACCCCAGAAGCTGCCGCGGTTCGCTTCACCCGAAACTTTGGATACTTCGGATCGTACTACACACTCTTCATATGGATCGTACTCTCCATAACCCTAGTGCCTCAGCGCCGGATGTCTCTAATTTTCTTGGTGATAATGACGGCAGCGGGATGCTCGTACCTTGCGCTGTTGAGGGTAGTACCTGATTCTCTGCTGCTGCACAAGACCGTCGAAAGGCGTTTGATGCTGGTTTTGTTGGCCATTGGGACGATGATTGAGCTCATACTTACGGATGCAGCCGAATATCTGTTTGTGACTTTAGCTTGTACGGTGCCAATTATTTTGGTTCATGCAGTTTTTAGGGTTAGAGATGATGGTTTTGTTGAGGAAGAGGCTTGTGGTTTTGGTGAATATGTTCCCCCCACAACAACCGAAGAACCCAAGTTGGCGGATTCAGTTTGAAAATTCTGTGGATTTTAATAATAGTACTTGAGTTGATCAAGTAACTTGTAGCTCTAGTTGGTATGAGTGTTTTTCTTTGCACCTGATGTCCTCCCTTCAATTTTCATCTGCCAATGTCTCGCTTGTATCAAAAGATTATGGTTGAGATATTTATTTAAGAAAAATAAAGACCTATTTTTTGGTTTTAATCCAATGATCATAATTGTTCAAATTTTAATTTCTCTTAATATACTTGCAAAAAATGGGTTAAAAATGAAATTGGTTTATCATTAGGATGCTACCAACGTTGTTATTTGGACATTCTTGTTCTACCTTCTCGGCTCTCCTCATCTTGCAATGTTGCTTGATTACCAAAACCGTCTACTTTCTTGATCACACTTTAAAAATCATCTCTGTAAAAAAATCAACCAATAATCAAATATATCATTTAATTGTTTGATAAATATGGTAAAAAATTAAGTGTATAATGACAAACATGGTTTGTTTATTTATTGGATAACCATTGGATGACTAAATGATTTCGTGTTTAGTTAATATTTTGCATTGATGATTTTTAAATAGTGATGTAAAAAGTAGACTGTTCCAATCATTAAGCAACATTGCAAGATGAGATGGGGAGATGAAAAAGTTAAACGAAAATGTCAACATGAGAAGATTGCTAGCATTCCTCTTTACGATTTGATTATCTACAGTTTCATTTTATTTTATCCAATAAATTATAATTTCTTGAAAATTTAAGATGACTAATTAATTTTCTTGAAAATTTTTATGTGATGATTATCGAAATAAAATATAAAATGTAGACTGTTTTGATTATTAAAATACATTATGGGTAGCCTTAAAGAAAGATGTTAAAGAAAGATGTGGAAAGTCCTTTTCTATATTTTTGAAAAAAATTGATGACATCCTTAACGTAGAAAACCTCTTGGTTCTTGGGTTATTAATTGGACTCAAATTTTGTACTTTAAAATTACTTTAGAATTGCAAATTACTACTAACTAGTAGTATTTTTATGTTTGAATCTTGTTTGTACCATATTTAGGGCCTCCGTATTTAGACCTCGTATAAATACTCGGGGGACTCAAATGTAATTATGTAATAAAGGAAGAGGCAAAGATGTAATAAGTGAAGAGCCCTTATTCTATAAAAGGGACTCCTTACCCTTACAATTGGGGGGGCCTCCTCACCCCAGAGGCCTGACTCTCACCTCACAAACTCTCTCTGCCTCACCATCCTCTTCAACATCACAGAGAAATAAAATATCAGTGTGGATGTAGCCCAAACATTGAGGGTGAACCACGATACATCTTGTGTTATTTACTTTCTTGCAGATTCACGGTCGGATTTACGTTGTCCCAAGACCCCTCCGGTTTTGTGCATCAACATTTGGCACCGTCTGTGGGAATCGACGCGAGGCACCGTATGTGGGAATCGACACGAAAAGTTATGTCGGTTCTCTTTCACTTTTTCACCTCCGCCGTGAATCTGCAGAAACCCAAAAACCCAGAAAACCTCACTCTTTGTGCTTTTCCAGAAAACCTTCGCAGACTCTGTGCAGTTTTAAGAAACCATCCAAAAACCCATTTTCTATCTCTCTCTCTCTTTTATCTTTCTAGGCAACCATGCCTTTCACAGAGAGCTCAACTGTAGGAGTAGAGCACATGAAATGGAGAAGACACAGACCCCACTAGCAAGCCTTTTTAGTGTGGTCAGGATTCGCTGAGCTGTAGTGGAGTCCAACCCTGAGGTGGGCTCATCCAACAAAATGGGCCCCCTTCATGAAAAACGTTGCAAACTTGCAATCTTTCAAACATTTCGGCATCTGGGTACTCCCTAAACCGGCTTTTTGAGCTGTTCTTTGATCAGACCCAACACCTTCATGGATTCTGAGTAAAGCACCGGCCACGTTGACCCCTCGGTCTTCAACCCCGCCAAGCTCAATGCACAGATCCGGCCCACCAACCCAACATAGTCCTACACCTCCGACTTGTCCGCCTTGCGGGCCTCCACCCACTTCCCCATTTCCGCCCAGAAAGCCGTCGAGTCTTCTACTCCAGATGGCTTCTACACTACCCGTGAGGCCACCCCCATATAAAGCATCTTTGGCATCAAAGATTGGGCCACCCTTCTGTAAAGATCATGAATAAGTTGGCCTCTCAATTATGTATTTCTCTTCTTGGTGCTTCAAATAAAACTTTTTGCTCAGCTTGTGCCCTAGGGAAATGTTCTAAACTTCCTTTTTCTAGTACTACTTGTACAACCCGCAAGCCTTTAAAACTTATCCATACGGATGTTTGGGGACCCTCACCCATAATGTCTCATCATGGTTTTCGGTATTATGTCATTTTCATAGATGACTATACCAGATATTGTTGGTTCTATCCTTTAAAGTGTAAATCTGATGTCCTCTCCACTTTTATGCAATGGAAATTACTTGTTGAGAATTCTCTGTGTACAAAAGTTATTACATTACGCTCAGATTCTGGTGGTGAATTTGTTAGCATTGCATTCTCTCAGTTCTTAGCTAGCCATGGCATTCATCATTAGCTCACTTGTCCTTACACCCTCAAGCAAAATGAGTGTGCAGAACATAAGCATCGACATATTGTCGAGACTTCTCGAACCCTATTGGCAGCATCTAAAGTGCCTCATGCTTATTGGGTTGAGGCTTTTGCTACCTCTGGCTATCTCATCAACAGGTTACCTACTATATCCAGATACTCTCCTTGGCAGTCTATTTTCCAGAAAGCACATGACTATAAATCTCTCAAGGTTTTTGGTTGTAGTTGTTTCCCTTGGTTGAAACCATACACATCCTCAAAACTAGATCCTAAAAGCAAGCCCTGTGTGGTCTTGGGATATAGCTTAAATCACAAGGGCTACCTGTGTTTACACCCATCTACTCACATGTTGTATTTCAAGGCATGTCCTATTTGATGAGTCAACTTTTCCATTTCATACCTTCCAACCTTCTCCATCCCAACCTGTCTCCTCATCTCCCTTATACCAATCCTCTATTCCCTCATCACTCACATTTACCTCTTATCTTCCTCATCATACCTCTACACCAAATACAACCTCCTAAAATACAACCTCTGCCGTTTCTCCAAACCAGATCCCAAACTTTGCAGCTTCTCCATACCAGATCCAAACCTCTGCAGCTTCCCCAAATCCCCACTCATCCCAGCCTATATTACCTATTAGCAACCACCTAATGCAAACCAGATCCAAATCTGGCATATTCAAATCCAAAGCATTAGCTACAACCAAGCACCCTATTCCTTTCCATCTTGTAGTTGACTATGTTCCTACAACCTACCTACAAGCTTCTAAACACTCTCATTGGCATATAGCAATGCAAGAGGAGTTCAATGCCCTTGTAACAACTGGTACATGGTCCCTTGTACCACCTTCTTCTTCTCATAATCTTGTGGGATGTAAGTGGGTGTTTCGGATCAAAAGGAAACCAGATGGCTCTATTGACAGGTACAAAGCCCGCTTGGTTGCTAAAGGGTTTCACCAACAAGAGGGTCTTGACTACACTGAAACCTTTAGTTAAGTGGCCAAACTAGTGACTATTCGTCTCATTCTCACTCTTGCTGCTCAATTTGATTGGTTCCTCAATCAATTAGATATCAGTAATGCCTTTCTCCATGGCACACTTACTGAATCAGTGTTTATGCAACAGCCACCTGGCTTTGAAGATCCAACAAAACCACATCATGTTTGTCATATTCACAGATTCCTTTATGGTTTGAAACAGGCTCCTCGAGCTTGGTATGACAAGCTTCATAGTGCTCTGCATTCTCTTGGGTTTCAAGACTCTGAAAGTGATCATTCTCTGTTTATCAAGAGTTTTCCTACTCCGGCATTCATCCTACTCTATGTAGATGACATCTTAGTCACCGGCCCCTCATCTGCAGCTTGTCAATAAGTCATCACTCAACTCAGTGCCCTTTTTCCCATCAAGGATCTTGGTGCCCTTCACTACTTCCTTGGTATTGAAGTTAAAAGATCATCTTCTGGTCTTTTAATCTCTCAAACCAAGTATATTTTGGATCTATTGGAAAAAGCAAAAATGGAAGGTGCCAAGCCCTGCAGCACCCCTCTCAGTACCACCAAGCTGGATCACTCGTATCCCCTGCTTGAAAATGCTTCTGAATATCGATCTCTAGTTGGAGCTCTTCAGTACTTAACCGGGACTAGACCTGATCTTAGTTTTGCTGTTAATTTGGTATGTCAGTTTATGCATAGTCCAAGACTTTCATATCTACAAGCAGTAAAACGTATTCTCAGATATCTTAAGGGTTCTCTTGACCTTGGATTATGGTTCTCCAAGTCATCTCAGGCTCCATCTCTTCAAGCTTTTTCAGATGCCGATTGGGCAGGGTGTTCTTTGGACAGAAGATCCACAGGTGGATATTGTGTATATTTTGGCAACTCTCTCATTAGTTGGAGTGCCAAGAAGCAACCTACTGTTGCTCGTTCCTCAACTGAAGCTGAATATCGATCTCTTGCCAATACAGTTGCAGAAATCACATGGATATGTAAATTGCTGGCTGACATTTCTTATTCTCTACCTCATTTTCTCAAGATCTGGTGTGACAATCTCTCTGCCATTTCCTTAGCAAAATCCCATTTTTCATGCTAGAACAAAGCATGTCGAGATTGATTACCATTATATTCGTGAAGAGGTTCTAGCCAATCAAGTTTCTGTGCAGTTTATCTGTACACAGGATCAGGTAGCAGATATTTGCACCAAATCTCTATCACAGCCTCGGTTCATCCTTCTTCGTGACGAACTACAACTGCGAATACCACAATCTCGTTTGCGGGGGGATATTAAGGATAAAAATGTAATTACACCTTCAAGGGATAATACTTAGAGGCTAAGGAATGTTTAGTTAGTTAGTTTAGTTATTCCTTTTGTTAGTTGTGATGACAACTGTGATGGTTGTGATAGCCTTGTATAAATACTGAAAGTGAAAGTTATGCATTGAATTAATGAGAAATATTTTTTCCTAATAGTGCCCACCCCTACAAACAAGAGAGGATACGTTGAACGAGCCATGCCAAATTTATCATTTTGTTTCTTTTAGCTCAAACTAGAAAAGAGTGCCCATGCTATGCTGCGGGTTTTAGAACCATATAAAACATTCTGAAAGTTGTAAATGTATTGAATAGGCAATATTATTTACATAAATGTGGAAATTACTTACAACTCTATTTACAATAAGGAACAAAATAAGAAATAATTTTATCCTATCTACTTACAGCCCTATTTAATCGTTGAACATATGTTTGTCAAGGATACGAAAAGTATGTCATTTGTATATTAAAAACTTGTCATGTGATGAACTGGTAATAAGAGTATCTCTTATGTATCAAGAGAATTAACCAAACAAATCTGAGAATTCGAGAATTTGAAATTAACTTACCGCACAGCAACAGATTTGTTTTTAGCCAGGACGCTCTTCTTGTAATTCACCCTGAAATTTCCACTCAAATGTGGACAAAAATGTCGTAGTAATCGTCACTTTGTTTAAAACGTCCGTCTTGACTTATTTCCTTGAAGTTGCTACTGTCACTCTCTATCATGCGTGTGTGTATATATACAAATGCATTACCCTTTCAAAACTTATAACTTATTCGATCCAAAACATCAGCGAGTACCTTTCTAATCCCTTCAATTCAAATTAAACACCATATTTGTTTGGTCAGAAAATGGCTGACTACGGCACCATGAAAAGGCCGTCCACCATCTCCACACCAACACCTACTGATGATCCCCATAAACCGAAAGATTCAACCGGAAAAATGAGCAAGGACTTCAAGCTCTTCTGCTTCTTCAACATCCCGGCAACCCCAGAAGCTGCCGCGGTTCGCTTCACCCGAAACTTTGGTTACTTCGGATCGTACTACACACTCTTCATATGGATCGTACTCTCCATAACCCTAGTGCCTCAGCGCCGGATGTCTCTAATTTTCTTGGTGATAATGACGGCAGCGGGATGTTCGTACCTTGCGCTGTTGAGGGTAGTACCTGATTCTCTGCTGCTGCACAAGACCGTCGAAAGGCGTTTGATGCTGGTTTTGTTGGCCATTGGGACGACGATTGAGCTCATACTTACGGATGCAGCCGAATATCTGTTTGTGACTTTAGCTTGTACGGTGCCAATTATTTTGGTTCATGCAGTTTTTAGGGTTAGAGATGATGGGTTTTGTTGAGGAAGAGGCTTGTGGTTTTGGTGAATATGTTCCCCCCACAACAACCGAAGAACCCAAGTTGGCGGATTCAGTTTGAAAATTCTGTGGATTTTAATAATAGTACTTGAGTTGATCAAGTAACTTGTAGCTCTAGTTGGTATGAGTGTTTTTCTTTGCACCTGATGTCCTCCCTTCAATTTTCATCTGCCAATGTCTCGCTTGTATCAAAAGATTATGGTTGAGATATTTATTTATGAAAAATAAAGACCTATTTTTTGGTTTTAATCCAATGATCATAATTGTTCAAATTTTAATTTCTCTTAATATACTTGCAAAAAATGGGTTGAAAATGAAATTGGTTTATCATTAGAGATGCTACCAACCTTGTTATTTGTACATTCTTGTTCTACCTTCTCGGCTCTCCTCATCTTGCAATGTTGCTTGTTTACCAGAACCGTCTACTTTCTAGATCTCCCTTTAAAAATCAACTCTGTAAAAAAATCAACCAATAATCAAATATATCATTTAATTGTTTGATAAATATGGTAAAAAATTAAGTGTATAATGACAAACATGGTTCGTTTATTTATTGGATAACCATTAGATGACTAAATGATTTCGTGTTTAGTTAATATTTTGCATTGATGATTTTTAAATAGTGATGTAAAAAGTAGACAGTTCCAATCATTAAGCAACATTGCAAGATGAGATGGGGAGATGAAAAAGTTAAACGAAAATGTCAACATGAGAAGATTGCTAGCATTCCTCTTTACGATTTGATTATCTACAGTTTCATTTTATTTTATCCAATAAATTATAATTTCTCGAAAATTTAAGATGACTAATTAATTTTCTTGAAAATTTTTATGTGATGATTATCGAAATAAAATATAAAATGTAGACTGTTTTGATTATTAAAATACATTATGGGTAGCCTTAAAGAAAGATGTTAAAGAAAGATGTGGAAAGTCCTTTTCTATATTTTTGAAAAAAATTGATGACATCCTTAACATAGAAAACTTCTTGGTTCTTGGGTTATTAATTGGACTCAAATTTTGTACTTTAAAATTACTTTAGAATTGCAAATTACTACTAACTAGTAGTATTTTTATGTTTGAATCTTGTTTGTACCATATTTAGGGCCTCCGTATTTAGACCTCGTATAAATACTCGGGGGACTCAAATGTAATTATGTAATAAAGGAAGAGGCAAATATGTAATAAGTGAAGAGCCCTTATTCTATAAAAGGGACTCCTCACCCTCACAATTGGGGGAGCCTCCTCACCCCAGAGGCCTGACTCTCACCTCACAAACTCTCTCTCCCTCACCATCCTCTTCAACATCTCAGAGAAATACAATATCAGTGTGGACGTAGCCCAAACATTGGGGTGAACCACGATACATCTTGTGTTATTTACTTTCTTGCAGATTCACGGTCGGATTTACGTTGTCTGAAGACCCCTCCGGTTTTGTGCATCAACATTTGACACCGTCTGTGGGAATCGACACGAAAAGTTATGTCGGTTCTCTTTCATTTTTTCACCTTCACCGTGAATCTGCAGAAACCCAGAAAACCTCACTCTTTGTGCTTTTCCAGAAAACCTTCGCAGACTCTGTGCAGTTTTAAGAAACCATCCAAAAACCCATTTTCCATCTCTCTCTTTCGCTCTCTTATCTTTCTAGGCAACCATGCCTCTCACAGAGAGCTCAACTGCAGGAGCAGAGCACATGAAATGGAGAAGACACATACCCCACTAGCAAGCCTTTTTAGTGTGGTCAGGATTCGCTGAGCTGTAGTGGAGTCCAACCCTGAGGTGGGCTCATCCAACAAAATGGGCTCCCTTCGTGAAAAACGTTGCAAACTTGCAATCTTTCAAACATTTCCGCATCTGGGTACTCCCCAAACCGACTTTTTGAGCTGTTCTTTGATCTGACCCAACACCTTCATAGAGTCTGAGTAGAGCACCGGCCACGTTGACCCATCAGTCTTCAACCTCGCCAAGCTCAACGCACAGATCCGGCCCACCGACCCGACATGGTCCTGCACCTCCGACTTGTCCGCCTTACGGGCCTCCACCCACTTCCCTATTTCCGCTCAGAAAGCCGTCGAGTCTTCTACTCCAGATGGCTTCTACACTACCCGTGAGGCCACCCCTATATAAACATCTCTCTCTCTCTAAGCTGTCTTCCAATTAAATCATGAGCAGAGCAAAATTCATTCAGATCCATCAACATCATTTTCTGTCTTTACGAAGCAGTGATGTCAGTGTCTGAAGAAGCAGCGATCTCTGTTTGGCTACTGAAAACTAAGGAAAAGAAACTGCTCGAATGAGGGATTTGCTGTGCTGGCTCGCCCTGCAACCATCGCTCTCTAAAAAACCAGAACACAAAAAACTTCATCTGCAACAATGGCGACGAAGAAGGGGATGGAAGTCGTTAAGAGCGTGGATCTGCAACGCTACATGGGGCGGTGGTACTTCGACCTGGTTGTCAATGTCTCGAAACTCCAACAGTTCTTCCCGCCCCGTCTGCCCCTTCCTTTTCCACCCGAGGAGGTCAATGAGGTCCCTACCGAAGTAGAGCGAAAAAAGGATGAAGGTGGCATGGCAGGCGAAACATTTACAGACTATCGCCATCTAAAACTATCCATTGGCCCTCCTTATCCAGATCCTGTTGTGGAAACATCGTCCTTGGTTGCTGTGCAGCCACCTGAGCCCACTTACGATTTGAAAATCAGGGTTGATTTGGAAAATTTAAAGGCTTTGTCCTGTTTACAGATCGAGATATTGGTCTACGCTTGTCAGAGACACCTGCAACATCTTCCAAATGGTGAGAGGGCAGGATTCTTCGTTGGGGATGGAGCTGGTGTGGGGAAAGGTCAAACAATAGCAGGGTTAATATGGGAGAATTGGCACCGTGGGATGAGGAAAGCAGTCATATCGTACTCGGGTTTTCTCCTGCACCCAAATCCCGTCATGGCGCTCAATCGCAGCTCCATCGCCTCTGTTAGGAGCTTCTTCTTCGATTCCAGCATTTGACTACATCAGGGGTTAAGCATCGATCCACGAGCTCACTGCTCTGTTACTTTGAGCTGTCATTTAGAGCTTTACCCAACAACCATGTGATAAGTTTAGAATACTCAACAATATTTTGGCAGATCGGGAAAACAATAATAAAAGCAAATAGTCGTGGCTATTATGGCAATGATGGACTACTTTATCGGGGACATGGAAAAGGAGAAGCGTTTGACCTACACCTCTGGGATATGGTTGGAGGTGGTATCAATCATGATTCACAAGAATTCTTTTTCACTAAAAATAGAGCCTTGGGGATGGACTCGTGGACCATGCAACATAAAAGAGAAAAGAAGAAAGCAAAAGCAAGGAATAAACATCCACACTACAAAAGAAAGGAATAAATACCCCACCAGAATGATGTGATTTA